CCAGCCCACGTTCTACAAACTTTTGCTCTGTTGATCCACTTTCAGTCATAAAATCTCTTTTCCCCTGAAGGAAATGAGATACTTGCTCCCCAAAAGCTTCAGGGAGTGAAATAAAAACTGAGGAAGTGAAAGGGAAAGGGAAGAGGAAGATAGACAGGAGGGGTATGATAGAACACCAGAAGGAAAGCATGGAGAAACAGGCAGATGTAGCATGACTCAAGAGGTATTGATACCTGTGGTGGGTAGATGAGGTGGGAGGATGTGTGAGAAGGATGGAGACCTCATCCCTCTGCCCCTGACACCTACCTGGTGATTTAAGATGGATGCTTACAGAGATGGGCTCTGACAGGGCCACGTGTGAAACGTGGCAGCTGTAGGTGGCTGGTGCCCATGCTGTGGCTGAGATGATGCTTAGGTAGGAGGTGATGCTGTAGGCACCATATTGGCTTTACTGGTGGCTGGAGAAACATGCATTTGATAGAGTGATTTCCACATCATCTTCAGGAATCTTCTGTGTCCAGCACACTGAGACATCCAGGGGGTGATAGCCAGCAATATTGCAGGTCAGAGTAGTCAACACATCTCTCTTGAATGATACTACTGATGGAATGACATGAACACTTGGAGGCTCTGGAGGAGATAAACAGGGAATGAACTTACTGTTATCAGAGTACAGAAGTGCCCATCCCTGTGGACTTTTGGCTGTGCTGCTAGGCTTTTGCTCCCCACCTGGTACCGGAAAAGGCTATGGCCACTGCCTTGGTGTTGTCTCCGCCACTCCAGGGAGGACAGTGAGGAGCTGGGAGCCAAGGCAAAGTGGCAGTCGAGGGTGACTGAGCCACCAAGATGCATATGCAGAGAAGTGCTGAGTGATGATGATTGAAATTCAGCTAGAAACAGAAACAGATGTGGTTTAAGAAGGCACCCTTGGGTGGGAAGGGCTGCCAGTGAACTCCTCACCAGGAGAAGGAGGAGGCACAGTCACCCCATTCAATGTCCTGGGGGCCATGTGGACTGAAAAGGTGGAGGAAGCCAGCCCGGTGGGGTTAGTGGGGCAGGGAGGCAGATGGACGCCAAGTGCCTGTCATGGTCTTAAAGGTGCCTGTCATCCTCAGGGGCTGGGGCATGGGAAACCCTGAGAGGAGGCAGCGTGGGGAGCAATCTGCATGACTCCTTTTTCCCTAAGCACCAAGTTCTGGCAGCCCTCAGGTCCTGGTGCGAGGTGGGGCACAGGACTCTTGGGGAGGCAGGCTTTGCTTATGTACCTCAGTGCTGTGGGGACACCCTGGGCCACCTGGTCACTGTCATCAACAGCATCCTCTCCTTGCTTATAGTCATCCTCAGCTTTGGGTGCAGTGTTGCATCATGTTCCTTCTCCTCCTCCCAGCTGCCACAGTGGGGTCCTCTGAGTGCCTGGGTAATACTGATCCTGCTGGAGAGCCTCAGGGTGGCCATGAACCATGAGGTATGGCAGGGCCCCTTGCCAGCCCGCTGGAAGCTGTATGGGGAGATCTAGCAGTTCACCTCCTCCCCATCACAATCCACATGCAGCAGGGACTCTGCGCGTGGGATGGATACTGAATGGGCTGTAGGGAGAGAGGAAAATATTTAACTGTTTGAATCCAAAAGAGGAAAGAAAGTTCAAGATGATGAGACATGTTTTGGAGAAGCATCATGCAACATGGGTGTCAGTCAGAGCCCAGAAATGCCAGTCTAGGCTTAATAGATGAAGGCCTCCAAAGAATACGAGAAGTTACTCATGACTGCCTTATATCCTTCAGTCTGTTGGAATGTATTTTCTCCTTCCAGATTACACAGAGATCATGCTGGGCAAAGGAAGCTGTTTGGAAAGGACAATAAACAGAACAGATTCCTTCAGCTAGCTCAAGAAAGCAAGCCGTGTATGTGAAATGCCCAGTAAAGACCTGCAATGTTCATTCTTTTTAGGCCTGAATCCAGAAACAAAGGGATCACTGAAGCATCCCAGCTAAGGAAAGAAAGGCTGGCAGGAAGGCAGGAGTGGCTGGATGGAAAGACACACTGTATCTGTGCCACTGATCATAGCATGGGCTTAAGCATAGGTGTAAGCATACTTGTGACTAAGTCTTCCCTTGGAGAAACCAAGGTACATGACAACAGTCAAGGGACAAGTAAGCATAGCTCAGGGGCTTGCAGGAGGTTGCTTTTCTTTCCAAAACTCATCTGCGAGTGGCAAAGTCCCCCTCCATTGCATGATGGGGCCGGCGGAGGCCCTTGCTTGGCATCAGCCTGCGAGAAACAGGCTGCGCTTAGAGAGCAGCCCCGCAGCAGAAAGGGCCGCCGGGGAGCTGCCAGCCGGCACCAGCAGCCTGAGCGTGGCAGAGTTGGGACCCTCTGCCCCGCCAGGCTCCCTGCCCCGCGTGGCAGGTTTCCTCTCAGCGCCGCCAGCGAGGCCGTGCACGCATTCCTGGTGGGTCCCCAACCCTCTCCGCTCCCGGAGTGGCACCCCGGGACCCTGCCTCCTGCACAATCTCCCCTCACTCGCCGCACATCCCTGGCACAGCCAGAGGCGGCTGAAAGGCAGCTGTTTTCACCTTTGCCTGGCCTTCCAGCGGCCTCTCTAGGCTACTGGCGCTCAATGTCCTCCACTGGGCAAGAGAGAAGTGGAAGAAGGTGAGCAGCGGTGCCTGTGCTGCTCGGCTGGAGGACCGGTGTTTGGGGACAGAGCCCAGTGCAGGGCAACACTCACGGCATGGTGGCGGCTCAGCTCCTTCTGCAGGAGTCTGATGGGAGGTGGGTCACACGGGCTCTTTTGTCTCCTGCTGGTGTCCTGTGCACTGGGAAGGGACAGGGAGAGAGCTGGCTGAGCCCTGAGCTGCCTCTGCTCTCTTGTCAGGCAGCTCTGCCCAAGAGCTGCCCGCAGGTGCGAGGGCAGCTCTCACCATCTGGGGAGCTGTGCTACCCCGTTGAGCTGCGCCTGGAGCATCCCCCTGGCTTACCCCAGCAGTGTGCCCAGCCACAGCTCCTTCAGTGCCCGGGAGCTGCAGAAAGAGAGGAGAAAGAGCATCAGGGAGAAAGAGCATCAGGCCCCACTGCCCTGCTGCCCGTAGGCAGAGGTGGGCGGCTGCACAGCCCTGCCCCATGGGGAAGGAGGCAGGGGCAGGACAGAGCCCCGTGGGGCAGGACAGAGGCGAGGCACTGCCCAAGGCCTGGCTTGCTCTGTCCTGCCAGAGCAGCTGCTTTGGCCCTTCCCTTGCGGGGACCAAAAGAGGCCCAGGGGCTGCAGGGCGTAGAAATGTCCCCATCCCTCCCTGCTGGCGTGCTGCCTGCTCCCCACCCAGGCCCTGCATGGAGGGCAGAGGCCATTGCCGCGGTGGCATGGGCATAGCTGGGAACATCTCCTGCCCAGTCGTGGGACGCGGCAGTGCAACTCGCCAAAAAGTGGCCATGCAGGAGCCTGTGGGCCAGCTGAAGAGGAGGTCGGTCCCGTCTTCATTGCTGCCTTCCTTGTCGTTTTCTTCCTTCCCCACTGCCTCCTTGCCGCCGCT